GAGGCAGCAGAAGCGCCGTTGTGCTTCCTGCCAAGGAAAGCAAGGTGCACCAAAAAGAACTTTTCCCTATACAGGTAGTCACCAGGTGATGGATGAGTTCCATTCCTGAGAAGGTCCTTAATGTAGAATTTTTATCTAAGTTGGATCACATGTGCAAGCTAAATGTTTGTCTTAGTGTATGTATATAGTTTATCTTGCTATGCATATAAAATACTTAAGGAGCACTTCCATATTCACTAAAATATCTTAAGCACAATACAGTATTTCAATAATGATAATACAGTAATATAAAGTAACTACAGGTGTGTGTGAGGGGGGGGAGAGGAGGGGAGGTACCTGTGGAGGTATACAGTATTGCAAAAATAAAGAGAGCCTAAAACAGTTTAGAACACTCTTTCAAAGCAATGGCTTATAGAATTAAGCTAGCTATCATTCTTACATCAATGGTAACATGAATTTTAAGCACTTTAAAGTACTATATGTTGTTTGTTCTTTCATTTATTCATTTTCTGAATATATTTCTGAGTTGCTCTGCTAACTTACAATAAACCATACGAATAATAAAATGCCACAGTTCCTAAAATAGACAGAGAAAATAATCAGAACTTTCTTTTTATAGAATTGGGTAATATTTGCAGGTCTGTTGGTCACTTTGGAAGGCATCTACTCAGGTTCAGGTTTTTCTCTCTGCTGCCAATTCAGCATCATTTGCCCATATGGCTATGTGAATAACTATCTAGTTCTCCTTTAGCATTTGCCCTTGCAACCAGGCCCTCAGCAGGTACAAGACCATTTAAGATAAGAAAAAGAAAATGGCTGTACAAACAACCCTTGAGGCCTACAATCCTGACTCTCCAGCGCCATTATTAGTTAATGTTACCTCGTGGATTAGGAAATCATAAATAAAAACAGGATTTCAAGCTTTAAAACAACAGAGGAGTAGGGAGAAGCCATCTGGGCAATTCTGCCCTTCCCAGAAACTGTTTTGCTGTGGTTCTGCTTCATCCTTGAGGCCCCACACATGCTCCAAAGAACACTGTCTTGGGTATACTCAAGTCAACACTACAGAATGAAAAGCTTTGAACATAGAGAATCTCTATCACTACAAAAAGCCATGAATATCTCTAGGGAACTACACATCCACTGATATGTTCCCAAACATGTTGTATAGTTCCCTAAACATATTCATGGCTTTTCATTAGAAATATTCATATAGGGTTTATAGCATTTGTAAGCATATAACCTGGAGACTACCTTGCCCTTCCTCCCACTGCCTCCCTCATGCTGAAAAGCAACTCAGTTGTAAAACAATAGGAATCTCGAGTCAAGTTGCTCACTTTTTGCTCCCAAGTCAAGTCACTGACGCAACTTCAGTTGGACTTGGGAGCAAGTGCCTCAACTCAAGACCCCAGCACTGGTTCTTACAAAAATCTCTATGATTTGAACTGGGATTCTTGGATCCATAGGTGCCAAAAATCCACAACAATGTTAGTTTCCACGTTAAAAAGTTGTGGTTATTCTATATAATTAACAGGGAATTTTAAAAAGCACATTCTAACTGCAATCACATGGTAACTTGTTTGCAGTATGAAGCCAGAGGGAAAATATTGAGGTATGATATACTTATTTGAAGTTGCCCTGGCATGATTTCTGAAAATCTCCTTGGAAATTGTAACTAGGGCAGCAAATTTAAAAAAAGCAGGTTGCTTACCTGTAACTGATGTTCTTCGACTGGCCATCTGTGCAGTCACACATATGGGTGCTGCGCCTGTGCAGTGCCTTTGGCCGGAAGATTGATAGCTAATGGTTTTTGGCGGGAAAAAGCTCTGCTCCCCCTCCCCCTCTAGCCTATAAAGAGCGGAGCGTCCGCCATTTTGTTCAGTCTTTGAAGACCGAACGTTCGCCCCCATGTGGAAAAAATATCCCTACTATAAATGATATCGGTACCATGAAAAAAGGGAAACGTTCGGTACCGACAAAAATGTCCACTAACCAACACCAAGCAGGGTTGGCGGGTGGGTTGTGTGACTGCACAGATGACCACTTGAAGAACATCAGTTACAGGTAAGCAACCTGCTTTTCTTCGTCGTGGCCTCTGTGCATCAAACATATGGGTAGATTAACAAGCTTACCATAAATGGAGAAGGGGAGGTGTCCTACGAAGAACAGATGAAAGAACGGCCCTGCCAAAGGAGCAGTCTTGCCTAGCGCGAACATCTAGGCGATAATGCTTAGCAAAAGTGCAAGGAGTTGCCCAAGTAGCTGCTCTGCATACATCATCAATTGGGACTCCCGACACAAAAGCAGAGGATGTAGCGACAGCGCTAGTCGAGTGGCCTCGAGGAACTGTAGGTAAGTCAATACTAGCCAGTTGATAAGACAGGGTAATTGTATGGATTATCCACTTGGAAAGCCTCTGAGGAGTGACCGGATCGCCTTGATCTCGGGTGGAGTATTTGACGAAGAGTTTATTTGAGCGTTGAATAGACTCAGTCCTCGATCTATAGAAGGCTAGGCAGCGCCGAACGTCAAGTGAGAGCAACAATCTTTCTAATGGCGTCATCGGGGACGGGAAAAAGGCATGTAAGACAATGTCTTGTCCCATATGAAAAGAGGTGGCTACCTTAGGAAGAAAAGATGGATCTAATCGCAAGACAACTTTTTCTCTGTGAAAATTCAGGTAAGGAGGATCTATGCGGAGAGCGCATAGTTCACTAGCCCTTCGAGCTGAAGTAGCCGCCACAAGAAACACTGTCTTCCAGGAAACAAGGCATAAATCGACTGTTGCTAAGGGTTCAAAGGGAGCTCTCGTAAGGGCTTGTAAGACTACAGAGAGACTCCAGGTAGGCATCAGTGGTCTGATTGATGGGTTAAAATTATAAAGTCCCTTCAGAAATCTCTTTATAATAGGCTGAGAGAAGATGGGCGATCAGTCAACTAAGCCACGATGATAGGCAATTGCTGCCGTGTACACTTTAATTGAAGACGGCTTCAATCCAGACTGATGCAGTTCTAATAGGAACTGAAGGATCTGATGTATAGATGCAGCATATGGAGAGAATGAATGAGACTCGGCAAAGGTTGAAAATCGTTGCCATTTTGCCGCGTAGGACTTCCGTGCAGACGGTTTTAATGCAGAATCAAGGATGTGCTGAATATCCGGATGAAAGGCTGTCGGCACCGACGGGACGTTGCTTGGATCTGATGACATGGGAGGAACAAGTGAGGAAGCGCTGAACTCACCGGAGCTGGAGACAGGATTCGACCCACTTGCAGATGCCATCGATACTGATAGCAAAATATCAGTTATCAGATTCGCCACGCTGTTAAGTTCAATGACGGTAGATCTGGATGGCAAAGCGTGCTGTCCCGTTGGGTTATGAGGTACGGAAGCAGTGGAAGATGGAGGTATTCTCCACGGGAGATGTCGCGCAGTGTCGAAAACCAAGCTTGGCGTGGCCACCAAGGGGTAATTAGTATTCCCATGGCCCGATCGTGTACTATCTTTGCTATCACTCTCATAATAAGAGGGATCAGGGGAAAGGCGTAAAAGTTCAGGTTGCTCCAGGGGATCATGAAGGTGTCCCCTAGGGATCCGTGTCCGATTCCCGCTCTTGAACAGAAAACATCACACACCTTGTTCTGTTGGGTGGCGAATAAGTCCACATCGGGAAACCCCCAGCGACGGAAAAGGTGATCGCACGCCTGAGGATCTAGTTCCCATTCGTGAGAGATGAGCATGTGTCTGCTGAGAAGATCCACTTCCACATTGTCCATACCAGCTAGATGGACTGCCATCAGCATAATGTCTCTCAGGATGCACCAATCCCAAATTTTCATCGAGAGTCTGGCCAGAGCCGGTGACTTTGTTCCCCCTTGCTTGTTCAGATAAAAGACGGTGACTATATTGTCCAAAGTTATCTGAACAACTCGATGTCGGAGAACGTCCTCGAAAGAACGCAGGGCCTTGAATACAGCCAGGAGTTCCAGGAAGTTGATATGATTCCTGGATTCTTGATGATTCCACGTGCCCTGAGTGTGTAGATCGGAGTATACTTTTCCCCATCCCAGGAGAGATGCATCGGTACCGAGGGTTACCGAAGGGCATCAGGGTCTAAATGGAACCCCCACAGTCAGGTTGGCTGGAACTGACCACCAGAGTAGAGAATGGATGGAATTCGAATCAACTTTGACGGCGGATCCCTCTGTGGACGGAACATCTTGTTAAACAGGAGTTGTAAGGGATGAAGTCGAAGTCTGGCGTGTGGAACCACAGAAACTGAGGAAGCCATATGCCCCAGAAGTCTCTGGATGGACTTTGCCCAAACCATGCCGTCTCGTCGCATTCGATGGATGTGGCAAGTCTGTTGTCTGTCCCGAGGGAGGAAGACCTTTCCCACCGTAGAATCCAAACGGGCTCCGATGAAGGTAATCGTCTGTACCAGAAGAAGAGAAGATTTCTCAGTATTAATGCATAGTCCCAGATCGTCTAATAAGGCACAGGTTGTACGGATGGAGGCGAGAAGTCCATCCCTAGATTGGGACACCAGCAACCAGTTGACAAGGTAAGGGTAAATCTGTACCCCTTGGAGGCGTAGAAAAGCGCAGACAGGGGCCATACATTTGGTGAACACTCTCGGAGCGGTAGCCAGTCCGAAGGGCAAAACTGTAAATTCAAATAATTGGGATGCAACAGCAAAGCGAAGGAAGCGCCTATAATTCGGGTGAATGGGAATGTGGAAATAAGCATCCTTCAAGTCCAATGAGGTGAACCAATCCTCTTTCCTTAGCAGCAGCAGAATATTTTGAAGGATGGTCATTCTAAACTTTTTCGTTGCGATGAATCGATTCAGACTGCGTAAGTCCAAGATCGGACGCAGACCACAATCCCGCTTCGGGACCGTAAAATATCTGGAATAGAATCCATGAGGACCGTCCGCCCGGGCCACTTGTCGAATCGCTCCTTTATGAAGAAGTTATTGGACTTCGTCGAGCAATACCAGCAAGCATGATGTAAACTGGATTGGACTCAATGGAGGAACGATGTCTAATTCTATCCGATAGCCGTGCTGTATGATGGACAATACCCACCGATCAGATGTGATGGACTCCCAAATGGGGAGTTGGCCTTTCAGCCGGTCCCCCGATGAGAGGGGGATGGGTATAAAAGGAGTTAGAGGAATGGTTCACCCATCCCGTGAGCGCTGTCTCCTATCTCCGTCAAAACGACGGCGGCCCTGCTGGTACCGTTGTGGAGGCTGTTGACGGCAGCGTTGCTGTTGCCAGTGTTGAGGCTGCTATGATTGCCTATAAGATGGATGGGTCCATGACCACTTACGCCTGGTCTGGGTCTGTAGCTCCATCCTCCGTGCCGTCATGCGAGACTCATGGAGTTTCTTTAGCTTGTGGTTGGTCCTCGAGTGGAAAAGCCTGGACCCGTCAAAGGGCATTTCCTCTATTCGCCTCTTCGTCTCCTCCGGGAAGTTACAGTTCCATAACCAGGCCTGCCTCCGGAGGGAGATGGCACCGACCAAGGCCCTCGAGTGTGTCCACATGATGTCAGGCAGTGGACAACTGCTGGACGGCGACTTGTATCACCTCCTTGACAAAGACCTTAGCCAGGTCACCCTGGTGGTCTGGGAAGGCTAAGATGATGGTATAGAGGCACTACATAATGAAGTATAGATACCTCACAAGCGTCGCCTCGTAATTGGAAATTCTCAGCCCTAGGCCAGAGGCAGCGTACATTCACCTGGCCAGGGAGTCAATCTTCCGTCCCTCCTTGTCCCTTGGTGCGGTGTGACCTCTTGCCTCTCTGCCCTGGGAGGACTCCACCACCACCGAGTTTGGTTTGGGGTGGCGGAGGAGGAAGGGTATGTCCTCCTCCTGAACCCGGTACATGGATTTGTACCTCCGCAAAGTCGGTTGAGGGTGAGCAGGCAAGTCCCAGGGTTGTGTCATCGCCTGTCGCAAGGTGGTGATCAGTGGCAGGACAATCAATGTAGATTGTTCCCCGCGGACGACATCATAAAACCTGTCCATACTCGGTCCCGGACGATGGATGGTATCAATCTCAAGGGACCGGAGAAGGCGGAACATCAACTCCGCGAAGGAGACATGCGATTCATCCGGTGACGCAGGCCCTGGGAGGTCACAGCGATGTCTGGGGAGGTAGAATCGACCTCCGAATCGTCGGAAGCAGCACCATAGTACGGGGGAGCTGATGAAGAGGACTTAGCCGAAGAGAAGAATGGGTTACTCTCATCCCGAGAAGGTATCGGGGACACATGCCGCGGACCCGAGGACAGCGGACAGTCGTGAGGTGATGAAGATCGACCCCTGGGACCAAGGTAGTATCCGACGGAGTGCAGATCACCCCAGGCCTGGTAGTAGGGACGGTACCATCCTTCGGAACGGTGTTCCACGGAGCGACTCCTCCGGCTCCTAGGCGGGGACATTTCAACATCTGCCTCCAATGTGGCTACGGGCATAGGTGTGGGAGACCTAGCCCTAGGGGGAGAATCTTGAATCTCCCCCTCAGAAATCGACTCCCGTGGTAGAGTTGGGAGAGGATCTGCCAGAAGGTCAGCCACACGGCGAGGGGACCCTTAAGGGGTAACCCTCATAGCTGCCTGAAGGGCCAGGTCAGGTGGAGTCAGTACGGTGACTACCGTCGGTACCAAGGGAGCCGTCGAACCCAAGTCACGATGCCTGGGATGCTCCGGATCCTTAGATTTCGACAGCTTCGGAGCCTTCTCCTTCCTGGCCTTCTTGTGGCCTGCCGATTTGTCGGTATCGGCATGCTTGCATTTCTCATGCTTCTTCGGAGAAGCAGGCCGAGTGCCCATGGTAGATGCGCCTTCATCCGAAGGGCAAGAGGGTGGAGCCAAAGGGCGTGAAGGTGGAGGAGCAGTGGAAGAGCCAGGCTTCAGAGCGGTGACTAGTGGGTCAGACTGCAGAAGAGCCCGATCCCACAAAAGCCTTCGTAGGTGGTTCTCGCGATTTTTCCTGGCCTGCTGAGAGAAGGCCAGGCAGTGAGAACACTTATCAGTCCTATGCCCTTCCCCCAGGCAGAGGAGGCATAGGTCATGCGGGTCTGCAGGAGACATCTTAGACCTGCATTCCGCGCACTTGCGGAAAGCCGATCGCTGCACCATCGTAAGAAAAGGAAAAAAGGAGAAGATAGTGCAGAGGGTAAGAATATATTTTTGGTTTTTGGTTTGTTTGTTTTTTTAATAGAAAATCGAAAGAGAGTTAGAACAATAGAAAAAACGGAGAACTATCAAGAGGAACAAGAGTTTCTACAAGAACTACTAATACTAACAGGCCTATAATAACTGGGAGAGAAGAACAATCGAGAACAAACAAGACGAGCAACTGTCAGAGCGATAGCGAAAGCGGCACGAGGCAAAGCAAATGGCGGTCGCAAAGACTGAACAAAATGGCAGACGCTCCGCTCTTTATAGGCTAGAGGGGAAGGGGGAGCAGAGCTTTTTCCCGCCAAAAACCATTAGCTATCAATCTTCCGGCCAAAGGCACTGCGCAGGCGCAGCACCCATATGTGTGATGCACAGAGGCCACGACGAAGAATTAGTATGTCATCCTATGCTTCATTAAATGCAATAGGCTTTGCTTCTGAGTTGTCTAAATTACAGAGTTAATTGAATCAGCTAATTAATCTGAGAAGCAGAGATTAAAGGAAGTCTTTTTTTATATACGATGGTTCTGGTACACTACTGTGATACAAAATGTTGACTCAAATGCTACAGATGGATTTCCTTCTACCAGCTGGTAGCAACTTTTCTTTATTGAATAATAAATTACCACACCTCCTTTGGTATTTTTAAAGGTTCTAGTAATATGTGTATTTATCTAGGGTGCAATCTATTGCATATTTAGAGAGAACAAAGTCTTCCAATTCCCAGCATGACTGCCTGGAGGAATATTGATAGTTAAAGTATATATTTCAGTCTAAATACGTGTAGAATACCTCCACTAACTGATTACTAGTTTAAAATCATGTGACTAATCAACCTAACTGTATTGATGGGTTGGCAATTCCATCATACCGCTTGATTTCAATTATGTTGTATTGACATATTATGTCAGAGTAGATGAAAATGTAGCTTATCCTATGTTATCTACCTTCACTCTACATTACTGCAGAATATTCGTCTACAGGATACAATGGCAGTGTTGCTCAGGAAGCAGAAAGAGAAGAAAAAAAAAACCAATATTCACTAGCAAACTGGTTCACAGTTATTCTCAGAGACTTGAAACTTCTAGTGTCTGACTTTTGACCTCGTTTTCCTATCCATGGTAATTTTGTAGTGCTGGATAGTTCTGATGCATAGTGACGTCATTCTTGATTTAAATACAGAAAATCTTCCTGCAACTGATCTTCCCTCTTGATACAACTTCAGTTATAGTGCCAAGTGAGACCAAAGACGACTAAAACATGAAAGTGATAATGGTGGCAGCACCATTTCCTTTTTCTCAGGATGTGTTCAGAAAGAGATGTTTGCTTCCATGTCCCTCTTCCAGCTCAGTATCAGAAGCAGGGTTCTGTAGAGGCATGTTTTGATAGGAAGTGAAACATTTGGCGTAACTAAAATATTCACTATTTAGCCATTCACAAACCCCCTGAAGCATACAATGCAAACTGTAATGTGAGAGTCAGGTGTTAGAATTTCATAGCACTGCAACTAATACTATTACAATCTATTTTTCTTACCGAAGTACTGCAACCTTTCAGTTTTGCCTTTCTGGAAAAAAATAAAACAAGTTCAGTTTTACTTTACCAAAATGAACCCTTAACCCTCAAGATTGGACAGCAATCTATATTTTTGTTTTGTTTTGCTATAATATTCTGGGCTTCTGGGTAATTGAACAATTAGGGTGATTAATTGCATGTTTGCAATAAAAACAGAAAGACTAGAGAGTTCCCTTACAGGTTCAATATTTTGAGAAAACTCTATCTGCTTCTAGACATAACAAATGCAATTGACTCAGCATGCAACCTATGGCTGGTTAAATGAAAGATTGCTGATTTGCTCTGGAACTCAACCCTTCTTAAAAGAAGCCAGAGTGTTTAAAAAAATAAACGTAAAATGGAGTGTGGAAGAAAGAGAAATATTGACATGGGAATGTGATGTTATCCTAACAAAAGAAATACTGTTTTCCTCCTTTGGCATTTTATTATTTGAATCAAGACTGGAAAGAGTACACAATATGCAGTATTACTAGTTCTAAAGTTTTATTGTTTTCTACTCACTAACAATTATTCTGAGGACTTCAAACATACTGTGTACAAAGTCTTATTTCACAATATGCAGTGTTTATCTCGCAGTAATTAATTGTACTTGCAAGTATAGGTTGCAAAATGCTTTTAAATACAATACTCTAAAATATAACATTTAATAATGCCATCTAGAAGTGTGTATGTGTAAGCTAAACAAAAGATCTAGTGAGATTCAAAGAGTCCAGAAAAATAATCTTTTATTGACCTAGAGCTATGGTTAGAAATGTTCTACTCATGCTGAAGGAAACAGGTGAGTAGATTTTTTTTTTCTTCATTCTCCCTGCAACTCTCTGGGCCTCCTGAAAACCCTCTAGTAAAATGAGAAGTGATGCTGGTGAAAATTAACAAAGGCAGATCATGTTGTCTTCTGGATCCAAACCATGGTTTATATTGCAAAATTAAGTGTCTAGTCCACATGCTTATAAAGCAAAGCATTTAAAATAGGTTAATACTGTAAAGGTTAAGAAATCAAAAGTAGCCAACCAGACTTTTAAATGTTCACTTTAAGGATTTCTACCATGTTTTCCTAAAAATAAGAACAGGTCTATATTAATTTTTGCTCCAAAAGACCCATTAGGGCTTATTTTCAGGTGATGTCTTATTTTTTCTTATGAAAGCTGTAAGATTCTTGCCCCGAGAGTACTCCACGATTCCTGTCTTGTACTCAACAGAATAGCTTTTTCTTTTTGCACTCATCTTGTCTCGGGGTCAAAATATTATTCCCTTTAAATCTACCATTAAATCAAGGGTTAACTGAAGACTTACAAGAGGAGTGGCCACACACAAGTGCATTAAGTACATCCGTTACAACACACGACATATTGAATTATGAAACACATTTGTTCATTATCAAGTGCACGCATTATTTGTGCATTTTGTCTGTA